CTATGGCAATCAGTTAGACCCTAAGACATTTGCTGCTAGCAGTTGCAGATCAGCTACATGGCATTGTAGGCAGCCTCATACTATCCCCTCCATAAACTTATCAAGCTCAGTCTTGAAGCCAGTTAGGTTTTTTGCCCCCACTGCTCTTCTTGGAAGGCTGTTCCAGAACTTCACTTCTCTGATGGTTAGAAACCTTCATCTAATTTTAAACCTAAACTTGTAGATGGCCAGTTTATATCCATTTGTTCTTGTGTCCACAGTGGTGCTTAACTTAAATAACTCCTCTCCCTCCCTGGTATTTATTCCTCTAATGTATTTATAGAGAGTAATCGTCTCTCCCCTCAGCCTTTATTTGGTTAGGCTAAACAAGCCAAGTTCTTTGAGTATCCTTTCCTAAGGTAGGTTTTCCGTTCCTCGGATCATCCTAGTTGCCCTACTTTGCACCTCTTCCAGTTTCAATTAGCCTTTCTTAAACATGGGAGACCAGAATTGCACACAGTATTCCAGATGATAGGACCTTTATTCTTTGCACGTCAAAAGAAGGGGGCAGAGGCTTGTGGGAAGCCACAGGCAGCTTGTCAGGGAGCTACAGGGTAACCAGGGTAGTCTGAAAGGGGGTATGGTTGCTGGGCAGAAGGGAACCTGGGAGTGCAAAGTGGAGACTGTCTTGGGATGGCATTGGTTCGATTAACTCATGTCCCCTGTATTAGCCATTAGCTCCCATCACCCTCATTCTGTTCCCCCAATAGCAACTGCTCTCCATAACACCTGCTTCCTTTTAGCTTCTCCAGCAGTCCCTGTCCCCACCTTTCCTTCAGGTAGCCTCTCACCTCCCCTTCCCTGTCCCCGGATAGCTCTTGCCACTCCATCCTCCAACAGTTCCTCTGTTCACCCCATTTCATACCACTAGTTCCTTGTTTCCCCTCCCACTTTCTCACTGTAGCCCCTCACCTCTCCTGTCAGTGCAGTGACACTGTGCTGCCTCTTCTCTGCTGAGCTCCACGTGGCATTGGGGGAAAGAGTAGCCAGATGGGGAGGCAGAGAGGCTGCCTAGCTGTATGTTCAGCAGGTGCCACAGGAGCCTCTGGTGGGAGCCATGATAGACTACAACCCAGAACCACATGATTGCCTGGGACCCACCAGAATGCATGACATCCAGGCTGCTCTTTGGGAATATGTGAAGAGAGACTTGTTGCATTTCCTGGGGCTCTCTATCTCCCTTTGGTCCATTCCTCAGTCTCTCTTCTCTCACCATTGGTTGTGACTAGGAGGATTAGGAAAGGCTCATTCTCCTGTCTTTACTTGCTCGCAACCTTCCCTGATAGAGAGGAGAAAGAAGTATTGCTGCTGGGGTTTGTATAGTGCCTTTTTATCTCTGTCAGTAAACAGAGCTGCTGGGGATTAAAGGGAATGGGGCCTAGCTGGTAGGGTCTCTTGTGGGAACTAGAACTGTCCTTGGTGGCTGCATGGGAAGCATCTGGCCCCTGCATCTTTTTCTCCTCACTCATTCTTACAATTCAGATGATCAAACGGGCCCCATAAATGAGAGAATAAAGATGCGTGACAGGATCCCTGTGGTACAACCTGGAAGTATGGGACCGCTCTTCCCCCTTAATTCTCCAGCCTGGGCTGTCTCTCACCGTGCTTTGCCAGTGACAAGCAGCAAACACCTCTAAGCCCTGTTATCACTCAACCACCAGCATGCAGAGGCACACACAGCTATACACAGGGAAACACCAGCAAATCTCCCAAGCCCCTGTCTTGCACCCCAGAAGTATACCATCTTACACTGCTCAAGTCCTTCTCTTGAACAATCCAAGCTCATTAATTAGTTCTCCACTTCATTAAAGGAAAGGGGACATGCACTAGCCTATGTAATCTGAGCAAATTCCCCAAGCACTTTGGAGAAACTCTCTGGTAAGAATAAAATGTTAAAGTAAGTTTATTAACAACCGAAAGATTATACATAATTATAAGTGGCAGGTATAAAGATCAGGGATAGTTACTTCAGAAAATGAAAATTAAACATGCATTCTAAATCCTAAACTTTTAGACTAAGCAAGTTTTGAATCAAACAACTTTTCTCACCCCACTGTTGCAAGTAGGTTACAGTTCTTCATACACAGGCTGAATTTCCTTCTCAGCCTGGTACCAATCTCCTCATTCAAAGTCTTTATCTTCCCAGCATTTTTGTTGCCTTCTTCATAGGTGTGGGAGGAGAGAGGTGGTCTCATGTTGCCACTGCCCCTTATTTTATACTCTCAATCAAGTCCCTGTGGGCCTTGCTGAGTCACAGAGCTGAGCAATCCCCATTGTATATTGCTTGCACAACTGTCTCTTACAGAATTGTAAATCTCTTGTTTACCATCCCCTGCTGATCAATGATCATTTAAAGCCAGCCTGGGTGTGGGTCACCACCCTTTTATTCACTGGAGAGCTAGCAGTGGGCATCTCTCAGACTCACAACATATTTCAATAACAATCATATAGCAAAATCTCATAACATAATACACTAAATTATATACATATTTTGACAGAACAATGAGTTTCACCAGATCATGACCTTTCATATGATACCTTGCAAGGCATGCCTTGGATGAAATATTACAACCATGTACCAATGATGAATATGGGAGTTACTGGGTGCTACTTTGAGGTACAGCATGTCACAGTGGGTCTAGCCCACATGATATAGATGAGTGGACAGTGCTGCATCATGGTTTCAGAAGCCTTTTTGACCAACAATCCCTACATGAATTTTACAACAAGTGATTCCAAATACCCAGTGCAATAAATTCACAAAACCTAGATTCCTTATGTTAAATGGATTTTCAATTTTCTATTTTATATTGCTCTGAGGTACACATGTCCAACTCCCATGGATTACAGTAGGACTTGCATGCTTATATGTGAAAAGAGAGTATGACCCTTATTTCATAGGCACATTAGGTAGGTTTTGAACTGCAATGTCTATGCTGTTTATATTTTTGTGGTGGGGCTAGGAAACAGCAAAATAGACTGTATAGTTTCATTTTGAAAAGCAAAGCTTCCTATAGTTCTGAGAGTTGCAGAGAATATAAAAAAATCACCATAGTTTACAATCTTATTACTTTTAAATGGATCGTTCTATTTAAACCCATTGCTAAGACTGTATGTTCCATGGTACAGATATCCAAACATTTCCTTTTTATAGTTAACTCTCAGTACATAGTTTTGAATAATTATGTAAAACAATTATTTATCGGTTATTTTGGACTTAGTGGGCCAAATCATCCCTGTCATAACTCCTTTGAAAGCTAAATAGTATTAGCTGAGAGAAATTTGGCATATTATATCTAAATTGACAGTAAACAACTGACAATTCACATGTATTCGCCTGGATCTTCCCTTTATATTTTTATATGGTGCCTTGCCTTTCTCGATGCTATAACTCTCTGGGAACCTACAGATGCAAGTGCGTGATGGGCATTTTCAAATAAAAATGTAGGAGCTTTTTTATGATTACAAATAGAACTATACCTAGAATTCTAATCCTAAAACACACAGTGTCCTCCAAAGAAGTCGCTTCCGCTCTAGGAAGGTTTTGGTAGTGCTTGTGAATTGCTTGACTTCATAGTAAATGGACAGTAGGACTTCCTCAGCGTAATCTTTCCACTTGTATTCTCCTCATTCTACTATTAATGATCCTAAATAAATCTGCTTACAGTGTGTCTACTGAGATGAGAAACAAGTTCACATTCTGCATTGTATCTACAGCAAATCGTCATCCACATCATTATGCATATATGGGAAAGTGGCAGTTAATGTAGAGTAAAAAGTTAGGTACAATATTGGTTAAAACAATAGTGGGAAGTGAACACATGCAATCTTGATACTTAAGATAAAAATAACCTTGTTACCTAGTAAGCTTAAAGAAATTGTTTGGCAGTTCACATGCAAAACCATGACACTAGCAATGTTGCATGTGCCAGCATATCTCAGTTATTTAGTGCTAGTATTCTTGCTCAGATTTTCCTATAATTTAGATACTTAAGTGTCTAACTTGTTTACATAAATCTCTTAATCTGTCTAATGGGTAAATATGAATCCCTGGCAAGTATTTGGAGTTTCATAAAAGCGTAAGACTACTAAACATACATAAGTTAGATCTGAAGAAAGAGTTTAATTATTTGTACTTCTTGACTGAATTACGCAAAAATCCCAGATAAGTGGTATATGTCAGATGAGATCGACCTGTAATTTATAGTGTTGCAACTCTGTATGTGAAGAAGAGAACATGTTTATACAGCCAAAAAATGAATTTTTGAAATTAAAACAATTATTGACCCTGATTCTCATGGCATAAACCTGTACTCCAGTAGAAGGGAAAAGTAACTGTGATTAAATACATCTCTGTTAATTTATTCTGACATGAATTATACACATTTTAGATTGTTCTTCAGCATTACATTTTTGTATTTTTATGGTATTGTTTTCTTTGCAGACGGTTGGAGCAAAATTCAATCAAGGTCATCCCTCCTGGAGCTTTCTCACCATATAAAAAGCTTCGAAGAATGTGAGTGAGAAATATTTTAGAATTATATAAAAACATTTTTATAAAACAGGTCATGGTCATACAAAGAAATTCCCATCAAAGTATGAGTATTTAAGAGTGTTTGACAGCCAGAGGATTAACTAATATGGCTGTCTGATTGCTTAGATCGTATAGTGTCTTTGTCATGTTAATAACAATCGCTGGTAACTCAGTGTAATGATACTAATTAATATGAATGTATATATAGAGAAATAGTGTGTCACTATAATGAAAATAATCGCTTAACAGATTTTTTGAAACATATTTTGAAATGACATACCATTGTCATTTCATAATTCCATTGATGTTGTAAGGTCCTGTTGCCGTATCAACCTAACTCAAACAATACTTCATAAAATGTCTTTAACCCTTTTATTATTACTAAAAATAAATCTAATAATTATTTTGTATGACTATTTATTTTACATAACCATGTGGTATTTCAGTGTAATGTGGTGATTTTAGTGCTTTGATGTTTTAATTTTTCAATTTTGTCTCACAAGGCCAAACTAAATATTTAGGTTTAGCCTTTTCTCCAATGACCGAAGCTAATTACATAATATTTTAATAGTTATTTTCTGTGGAATGGGCTAGAATTCATTTAATATATCCTCATTTCTTATTTTAGTGACCTGAGCAATAACCAGATCTCTGAGACAGCTCCAGATGCTTTCCAAGGCCTGCGTTCACTCAATTCACTGTAAGTATCAATGTGATTGTCTCAAAAGAAAGGCAAAATTTCTAACATTTGTGGTATTCAATTTTTAAAAATGTTTGGCTTCATGCAAAATTCTCATTTAATCTTCATTTTTCTTGCCCTTGAAAACTGTAAGATAACGTCAGAGATGTCAGAACTATAACCTGACATCATGTTGTGGCTGAATGCTAAAATTTCTTAGATTCAGGTCTTGAGAAGGATCCATGTGCTATTAATGTAAAAAGGTCCCAGCTGGATCCTTTGATAACTTGGAGCAGTAAGCCAGTCAGGGAATGGAAAACACACCTCTTCTCATGCCATATTCACTCATGTTAAATTGAAAAATATTGTCTGGAGTAAACTCATGATGATTTAAAATTTGTTCCACTTTGAAAGTGGCAGGTTTGTCCCCTTTTTATCATGATCATTAGCAGAAATTATGACAATTCATGCTGATCAGTTTTGTGAATAAACTTAGTTTTCACATGCAAAGCTTACAAAGTGAATACTGATAGCCTCATGCTACTTTACTCTCCATCCGTTAGAGAATAGGACCTTTTGTTTTTTTCAACTTCTGTCATTTGATCCTTAATTATAATTAAGTACTGTTTTACTGTTCCTACTTGACTTTGTTTTCACAGAATTGGTTACTTCAGAAATACTTTGAAGTGGAATGGAAGTTTATACAGTTTATTTAAAATTACTTCCTTTATTGCAGACAGGGCTTCCACTACTTTTGGCAGTTCTAAAGGATTCTAAATATAATGATTTTTTTTTGTTCCCCTGAGGAGCATCCATTTTATTTTCACACATCCCATTCTATCTGCTTTTTCACATTAAAATATTGGCTCCTATTAAATCTGTATAGGAAGATGCTATGCAAGCTGCTTCTCAAATTATTTCATCAGAAATTGTCTAAGTACATGGAACCAGCTGTTCTACTGTTATAAGAAAAAAATCATAATTGTAATTCATTTTTCTAACTAAAACCAAAAATTAGAAAGTTATGGATTTTAGAGAATAGATCTTTCCAGATAAGCATTTACCTAATGAAGACAGATTGCCCTCTGTGAAATAATCTCTCCTCAAATAATACTTTTGAAGATCTGAAAGGGTAAATGATTATAGCATTATGTGATTTAGTTAAGAAAAATATTGCATAAGTGCTACCTACAGGAAATCTTGACTTAAGGGGCTAAATGTAACTTGTTCTGGTTTTCTATGTATGGGATGGTCTTTTTGTAAAAGGCACTGGTCTGGGAGTTGAAGACTCGGGTTCTACTCCCTGCTCTGCCATCGACATGGTGTGTGTGAACTTCAGCTAATCATTTTGTTTTTCTGTGCTTTACTTTCCCCATCTATAAAATGGAATGTCATATGTACCCTCTTAGTAAAATGCAATGAGATCTTTGGATTAAAAAGTGCTAGAAAAAGAGCTAAGTATTCTTATTGTACTGTGTGCATATACCATAATGCATATTTTATCAGTCTGTGTTGTTTTCTTAAGGTTGCAAAGCCAAGAACTCAAAAGCTAGGAAGTATTATTGCTGCATGATTTTTTTTATTTTACAGACCTACTTTAACATGCACATCAGTTGTTGCCTCCAGGGTCTTCACAAGGTGCCATTGTGGGTCTCAGAGTTGCAGTTTGGAAACCTTTAGTACAATATATAATTTTTTACTGGCCTTTTAACTAATTTTCTTAGTCAAATGAACATTTTGACTTATATCATGTGTCAGTAAAGAAGGTGATATATTTCATTAGGAGATATGGCAGATCAGTGTGTTATGGATTAGCAGGTAAACTCTTCCACTTCTGAAAGAGTATGATGGAGTTTTATTTTAGTGTCTGCTGTAGAATCAACAATGAGAAACAAATTCAGACACAAATCTTTAGTATCAGGGTGTCTCTGTCAGTGATACTGGCTGCTATCTGGAGCCATGTGGTACATAAAAAAATAAACTGCTTAGAAGAAAGTTGTCTTGTCAGTACTTATACTTTATTACCCACTGACCAGTTTATCTGTAGACTAAGTTTCCTATCACCTTGTTAAAGTAGATACTTGGGCCCTGATCCTGCAATGGTCTTTGTAGGGTCAGATTTCTGCACCCATACAGGGGAGCTTGCCGGGGTATTAGTTTTAAGTCCCAAATGTCTTGGTTATTTCTATTTAGAATCATTTCAGGGAAGACGGAAGAAGTTTCTTTCTGTCTTCCAAGTCAGATCCAGAAAACTTGTACCTTAATAGTAGCCACCTTGATTGATTCTTTTTTGTTACAGTGTCCTCTATGGAAATAAAATTACAGAACTTCCAAAAGGCCTGTTTGAAGGACTCTTCTCTTTACAATTGCTGTGAGTATTTGTTTAATGCTTATTTCATTTTGAATTAACTGGTGGGAGTGGGGATTGGACTTGAAACTTCGATATGTACCCAGAAAAGAAGGGATAGGAAATTATCCCTATATGCAATATCAGATGTGCAGTGAAATCATTCATTCTAGTTTTAGTAGACGAAACTAGAGGAGTCAAGACTTCTAGATTCTATCCCTGGCTCTGACTTTTGTTTGTAAGGTGTTCCTTTGATCAAGTCATGTACACTCTGTGTCCCAGTTTACCCACCATTAAAATGGATATAACGTTGACCTGTCTTGTGAAAATTAGATAACTATGCAAAGTGCTTTCAGATCCTTGAGCTGAAGGTGTTGTATACACCGAGTACCAGTTGAGAGTCTACATTTATCACAGTAGAAATATATGATTTAACAGTGAGTATCAAGGGGAGCATCATGGTGATATGTTTATCAAACTTTCTCAAAAGATTCAGCAGGATTGACAGTGCAGTTGTAGTACTGTCTAAAAATAGATTGTGTGCACTAAGCCATAAATCAGCAGTGATGTTCTGCAGTGGAGAATCTGGGAATTGCTCGCTTGTAGCTGTAAAGTCTGATGATCTTAGAAAATAACATCTACCCACTTGATTAGAAGCTTTTCTTGCCCAGACTTTATAGAGATGTGATAGGCAAAATTTCTCCTATAAATTCTTCTGGAAGAAAGTGGCAAACTAGGAAGTCAGTGATGTGAAAATATAAATCATAGCACCATCTGGGGTTGATGTTTCATCTTTAGATCCTGATACAGTACTCAAGAAAGCATTTGTCTTTGTTTCCTTCTGAGAGGAGTTTGTTACCGAGAATTATATTCACTGAAAGATCAAAGATAAATCTTTGTTTCTATTCACGCTATATTGAAAGCTCCACTATACTCTGATAAATTTTGCAGCGCCTTTCCTTATTTTATTTGAAGTGCATGTCCTCCCTTGACCACACTTCTGTTCAAATACAAATCCACCTTTACATTGCAGTAAAACCCAGTTTTTCAAAGCATAGAACACACTAACTTCACTATTCACCCTGATAAATGAAAAAAAGGGAAGAATCAAAAGGGATATGATTTGAAAAATCCAACAAGTTTCATGATAAACTTAATTTTTGTTGTTGTTTAAAAAAGGTAATAGACTTCTGTAAAAACACTCTTCCTTTTTATCTTTTTATATTTGTAATATGGGAGGGATGGGGGAAAAGTGTTTGTCTTTGGAGATGGAGAAGAAAATCAGATCCAGGAGATATCTGGACTATATCTTATTCTGTGCCACCAGTTTTTTACTATAACTTCTGGAAATGTGGCCATATGCTGATTAGTAACATGTAATTAAGCATGCCATTGTACATCTCTCCCAGCTAATGCATACAATGTTCAGTCCTTCTTTTGGGAAAAAGGCAAAGTTTTCCTTGCCCATACTTGATTTCTCAAGCTCATTTCCTTGCTCAAATAAACACCACCTACATACATTCCATGAACACACACAACACTGCGATTTTACTAAAGAAGTCAGTGCATTTCAACTCCTATGTGTAAATGGTACAGAATAATTACAGAACACCTAAATAAGTTATTTTAATTCAATAAAAAAATGCGCACTTGTTAATTAAGGTTTATATAATATTAAACAAAATAACCTTCTTGTTCCGGTTGCAAATGGGTACAAAGAATTATTGGTGATACCACAGTGAAGCTTGAGTGACAATAAACTAATTCTTTCTATTTTATAATTGTCTTTCATATAACAGATTATTAAATGCCAACAAGATAAATTGCCTACGAGTAGATGCTTTCCAAGATCTACACAACCTGAACCTTCTCTCTTTGTATGATAACAAGCTTCAAACCATTGCTAAAGGCACCTTTTCACCCCTACGGGCAATTCAGACTTTGTATGTATACTTTTATTTGTGTTGTATGTAATGCAACTTTCTATTTATGTTTGTTTTCTATAACATAAGAGCATTTCAGGAATAGTTGAGACCAATTGCAAATAATGTGTAAAAAAAATTTTTTTTTCCTTCATGAAAGGCATTTGGCTCAGAACCCATTTATTTGTGACTGCCATCTGAAGTGGCTGGCGGATTATCTTCATACAAACCCTATTGAGACCAGTGGTGCCCGTTGCACCAGCCCCCGCCGTCTGGCAAACAAAAGGATTGGCCAGATCAAAAGCAAGAAATTCCGCTGCTCAGGTAATTTGCTTAGTTCAGCTGCTATTTCTCTTTTATTGCCAAAAACAGTGGTTACAGAAGTTTTAATAAAAGCAGCTGGTTCTCTACTGAATTATTAAACATTGCAGAACCTTTTTTGTTCTTCTACTGAACAAAGAGGAAAATAATGGGCGGCTCACATTATTTGATCATGGAATATATTGTAGTTAACACATTTGGCACTAAATCTAACTAGCACTAAATCTAACCGAAGAAATGTAATATACAGCACTTCAGAATGAAATGATAGAGTTATTCTCTACAAGGATTACCAGCATAAATCATTTAAACGAAATTTCACAAGGCTTTGGAATACGTGAAAGATCTAAATATTTCCAGCTAAATATGGAAACATGACCTATTCGTGTTACACAGGGAGTTTACCTCATACTGAAATTTACTGTTTGCTTTTTCTAATCTTATTCCATTTCCTACTTACATTTTTCTAAGCCCTAACCTCTGTCATATGGTATCCAGCTGTTCCAGGTGCATTTCACATTCTACAGTTTATTCAGCTTTGAGTGCAAATACCGAAAGAAAACTGTTTATTATCCATGTTCCGGATATAGTTATAACTATTCACATGTCGTTTATCAGCTTTTGTTGTGAAAACACTTTTTTTCACATAATTATCTGCAGTTAACTGTAGTCCATACTTAATCTAATAGAACACATTCTCTGCTTGCTGACATTCAGGTGCATCTTCTATTTTTTCTCTTTGTTTTTATTTAGCTAAAGAACAGTATTTCATTCCAGGTAGGTTTGGCTCTGCAGTAAGACTGACTAACTGCAGACACCCTCTCCTCTCCCCACCCAAAAGCAAAATTTGTCATAGCTTTAGGAAACTGATGCATGTGTTTTAAATATAGTCAATACTCTATAGATAAATATATTTTCTTGTGTAGATTACTAGTAGTTCTGTTTTCTGAATATGAGGGCTTTGCATGCAGCTCCTGATATCTTTTTTTTTATCTCACAAATCTGCACATAGCCTATGAAAATGGTACTTTTATTTACATTAGTTAGAAGGTTGCACCTGTTACTATATATTCCAACTGACATCTTTACCTACCTTGTATATCTCACCTACTGTAACACTGTTTTTAAAATGTAGCTGTTGAGCTGCTTTTAAATACAGAAAAATCTTCCTACTGTCAAAGAGCTAGTACAACTTAAAGCCACTTTAAAAAATGACCCTTTCTTGCTTTGCTTTTATGCTCTAAACCAGCAGTTCCCTGCTGTCTATCTGCAACTATTGCTTGCTCACCTGTGACCCTATGATTCCTGTGTTTTATGAAATCACAACAGAATGCCAGGAAAAGAATGGTGATGTTCTTCATTAAAGGCATTTTAAAATCTCTCACACACATTGTGCATTAGAAATACTTTTTGTTAAAGAGGAAACAAAATTTAAGAGTTGGGGTGAAACAGTAATGTAAACATCACTTTCAAGTACTGTAATACTGTGACATTTTCCAAAGGAAAAATGATATTGCCCTAGCTCTTTGAAATTTGTTTCTTTTCCCTTTGCTGTCAAGCGTGTGCACTGCTTTCTTTATAGACAAATACTTACGTTATGTTCCTAACAGGTGATAAATAATTGATTGGCCAAGTACACAAGTGTATAACTACAAAAAGCTTCTCTCATAGTTTAATATCTAGAAAAATATTCACAGTAGCTTATTGAATGCACTTGTTCTTTCAAACACTACATGTATATTGTCTTTCTGCAGTGTTTTAAATACTGATTTATTGATTGATCTTACCTATTACCTTTTAAACTGGTATCTTTAACCGCTTTGCTTTTATTGCCATGCAATTTTCTTTTTAAACTGGAATGATCGTGTGAGATTTTTTCATGTCCTTCTACTAATAAGTTGGCTTGAGTTTTATAGGGGAAAAAGAAAATTGGACAAGGACGGTAGTTTGCCATCACTGGCAGCAGTAGCAACTTCTTATTTTAAAATAGCTTACAGTGGGGGAGGGAGATCTGATTTCCCCAATCTATCTGGCCACCTGAATTCCATAATGAGTAGAACAGCTGTATTCCTCACACAGAGAGACTTCTACTCAATATTGCCAAAATGGCTTTTGTCTCTAAATTTGAAGCATTTTACTAGCAAGTATCTTTAACAGGCAATTTATAACATGGCCACGCACAGCTCTGATTTATTTACCTTCAAGAAATAATATCCTACTTAAAATTGTAATTGCTAAAACGTGAAACATATCAGGAAGTTCTGAGAATATTACTTTTTGAAGTGTGGCTTCAGTGTATCCTCTTCCTATTAAGTAACTAATGGACATAGTGTACAATGTGCAACATTTCTTCAAACTTTGGAGATCTTGACCTAAATATTTTATGTGATTTAGTTTGAACTACTATGCATATACAAGTTAGAATTTTTCTTGCTCATAAGTAATTCTCAAAGCCCATTTTAAAAAAAAAGTTGGATACACTTCATGCTTAGATAAACATAATTTAAAAAAGTCAGCATTTTCTATAGCAGGTTAAATGTAGACTTTTTATAGCTGAGAGATCTGGGTCCACAGACACTTAAACTATTTTAACAGTATTTCCACATAGTCATGTTTGAAGACTAAAGGTTATAACAGTAATAAAAGCAGGAACCTGAACAAATCCTGCTTTTGTATTAGTTCATAAAATATTTCAAGTAGTTATGTCATATACATTACTTGAAGCTAAGTAGACGCTAAAATATTACAGTATGTGAGGCCTCTTTTGTTCTATGGTACTTGTGACTGTTTCCCCAAAGTTTCTTTGATTATTTTTTTATTTTAAGTGGCTTAGCATACATTTGTATACAGCAGCATTACTCTATCTTATCGTAATAAAAGAATTTTTAAAAAGATAAATTATACCACATGAAAAGTATAATCATCTATAAATAGTTCATAATTAATCTCTACCCTTTAGCTTAGTTGAAGTTTTGTATGCCACTTAAAATGAATTCTTCTCTGTCCTAGAGATGGTGCCTCATTGCAACATCCTGTAATCAAAGAAATAATATTGAGGCAAGAGAGTGAGAGTGCTTAGTTTCATGTTTTTATTTTAATTGGGATTACTCTGTCTTTCTTTCCTTCTTGGCTATCTTTACTTTTGCAGGAGTTCACCATTTTGGCTGTAAGTAAAGTTCAGTGTCTGAACTAAATCACAGTGTACTTCCCATCCCTGGTGCACCTTCTTCTACTAGTGTCTTTCCACCTTTGTCCAAGAAGAACCCACAGGTCCTTTGAGCTTCTTTCTGTTTTCCCTGTCACCTACCCTCAGTTCCTTACTGGATGTTTTCTGCTGATATGTATAGGATTTTATTTTTGTACTGTTGATTGTGGGAAATGGTGGAAGAAACTTGCAATGTGGTCTATTTCTTGTACTTTTTAGTTAAGCTGTGACAGTAATACTGTTACAGTGGCAGTGGACATTCTGTAATAGGAATGCCATGTCATGTAAGCAAGTATTAAACTTCAAGAGATTCTGTAGCTTTTCCCTACTCCTTCCTCTTTTTCCTTGCTCTTGTCCTTGGCCTAGTGGATGCAGTTATGATAATTTAGCGAGATTTTCTGTTGTGCTTGATCTAACCATGTGGTTGCAAGGTATGAGTAAAACATGGTTCTGTCAAGCACCATGGAACGTCACGCAGCTTTCTACAGCATGGCAAGCTGCTGAGGCTTAAGTCAGGATTATACATTTTTAAAATTAAAGGAGAAAATAGGGCTTTGAATCTTATGTATTTGAGATTACTTGGAGGATTGGGGACTGTAAAAGAAATGACTATAGAAGGTTAATGAAGTCCAGTCAACAACAAAAAGAGTAACAAGAGAAAAAAGAAATGGCATACAAGAATCTATTAAATCTTGACACACAGAGAGAAAAATAAATTCTGTAATAATCAGTGGCATTTGTGTAATTAGATGGAAACCAGGCAAGATTGGCTGACAGCACAATCAGCAGAAAGTACAGCTGTGAAAAGCTTAAGTTTTTAGTGTTCTCCCATCATATGAACTTGGTCACAAATTTTTCCAGCATATCTCAAGCCCCTGTATTTTAACCCTCTCTTGAAGCCTTAATGTGTGTTTAGTAGCACAAAGTTTACCAAACATTTCTCAAGTTATTTGTCTATACTCTACATTGCAGATCTGTCATTTTAATTTTCTCATGAGAAATGAATCTCATACTCTATGGACTCAGTGTCTGTATTTTGCCTTGACTCTTCCACAGGCACCGAAGATTACAGATCAAAACTAAGTGGAGACTGCTTTGCAGATCTGGCTTGCCCTGAAAAATGCCGCTGTGAAGGAACCACAGTGGACTGCTCCAATCAGAAGCTCAACAAAATTCCTGACCACGTCCCCCAATACACAGCAGAGTTGTAAGTTCAACCCGCAATAATATGCTGCTCGCCAGTGGGAGTACAGCTAAAATTTTGGTATGAAAAGTCAACACAGCTTAAAAGAAAGAAGGGAAAAAAGAAGCTCAAACTACTCCCCTCCCCTCCCCATTGTTTTGAATATTGAACGATGTTATAACCGAATTTAAAGCATTTTTGTTAACACTCGACCCATTGAAGTGTTATAGTACATCAAAAGCAAAACAGAATACCTAAACTAACAAAAAATAACAAGGTAACTGCTGTACCATGCCATGTTTCCACTCCATGATTATCTGCTGTTTATTTTATTTTTTTATTGTGTGTGGGGGGGGAGGGCATTATTTTTTATTTATATAAAAGTAGCAAATCGGTGACCCAATCAAGAAGCAGGACCACATTATGCTCAGTGATGTACAGACATGTAACAAAGAAGACAGTTTCTGCCCCAGATTGTTCACAGTGTACATGTCAGACGGGAAACAAGTGGTGGATGAAACAAACAGGAAAGGACTGGGTTGTGAGGATGAGAGAAAAATAAAACAAACAGAGTAGAGCAGAAGAAGAGAAGTCACAGCTTGGTGCTTACCTAACCAGTACCAGATGGAAGTGATCTGTAGGCATTACAGCAGAGGTAGGTTTCAAAGAGGAATTTAAAGGGAGATTAAATTCAGACAGTTTTATGGGTTTGTCCCATGCATAGGGGGCAGTATGGGTGGATGTGCAGAAGTGCTTCAGAATTAAGCAAACAGGTGAATGACCATTATTGACAGAGTGAGGTAAGGAGCATAAATTCTGACAAGTCAAGTGTAAAAGTATTTTAGGCAGGCCAAAAAAAAAAAGAATGTGGAGAGCAACTAGCAAAAGACACAAAAACTAACACCAAAATATTTTTAATTACATCAGAAGTGGAAAGCCAGTCAAATAATCGGTGGGGCCACTGGACAATCAAGGTGCTAAAGGAGCACTAAAGGAAGACAAGGCCGTTGATTCCCACACCTGAACCATTCTTTTTGGATGCCAAACTGAGGAACTGTCACAGATTAAGGTGTCAATAGAGGAATGATGAACCAGATGGTATTCACCAGGAGTTCTGAAAGAACTCAGATATGAAATTGCAGAACTACTAACTAGTATGTAACCTACCGCTTAAATCAGCCTCTATACCAGATGACTGAAGGAAAGCTAATGTAACATCAATTTTTAAATAAGGCTCCAGAGGAAATTCTGGCAATTAAAGTCCAGTAAGCCTAACTTCGGAATCAGGCAAATTAGTTGAAACTGTAGTAAAGAACAGAATTATCAGTTGAATACATGAGTCAACACAACCTTTGTAAAGGGAAATCATTACTCACTAATCTATTAGAAAACTTTGAGGGTTCAAATAAGCATGTGTATGAGTGTGATCCCATAGATATAGTGTACTTGGACTTTAAGAAAGCTTTTGACAAGATCGCACACAAAAGGCTCTTAAGCAAAGTAAGTGCAGTCAGGGGATGAGAGGGAAGGTCTTCTCATGGATCAATAACTGGTTATAAGATAGGAAATAAAGGGTAGGAAATAAATGGTCAGTTTTCACAATGGAAAATGGTAAATCATAGAATCTCAGGATTGGAAGGGCCCTCAGCAGGTCATCTAGTCCAACCCCCTGCTCAAAGCATGACCAGTCCCCAACTAAATCATCCCGGCCAGGGCTTTGTCAAGCCTGACCTTAAAAACCTTTAAGGAAGGAGATTCTACCACCTTCCTAGGTAACCCATTCCAGTGCTTCACCACCCTCCTAGTGAATTTTTCCCCCTAATATCCAACCTAAACCTCCCCCTCTGCAACTTGAGACCATTACTCCTTGTTCTGTCATCTGCTACCACTGAGAAGAGTCTAGATCCATCCTCTTTGGAATTCCCTTTCAGGTAGTTGAAAGCAGCTATCAAATCCCCCCTCACTCTTCTCTTCTGCAGACTAAATAATCCCTGTTCCCTCAGCCTCTACACATAAGTCATATGCTCGAGCCCCTCAATCATTTTTGTTGCCCTCCGCTGAACTCTTTCCAATTTTTCCACATTCTTCTTGTAGTGTGGGGCCCAAAACTGGACACAGTACTCCAGATGAGGCTCACCAATGCCGAATAGAGGGGAATGATCACGTCCCTTAATCTGCTGGCAATGCTCCTATTTATACACCCCAAAATGCCGTTAGCCTTCTTGGCAACAAGGACACACTGTTGATTCATATCCAGCTTCTCATCCACTGTAACCCTTAGGTCCTTTTCTGCAGAACTGCTGCCTATCCACTTGGTCCCTAGACTGTAGCAGTGCCCCAGTAAAGGTCCCCAAGGACCTTCACTGGGACCAGTGCTGTTCAACATGTTCATAAATTATCTGGAAAATGGGGTAAACAGTGAGATGACAAAGTTTACAGAAGATCAAAGATTACACAAGATAGTTAAATCCAAAGTTGACTGCAAAGAGTTACAAAAGGATCTCACTAAACTGGGTGACTGGCAAACAAAATGGCAAATGAAGTTCAATGTTGTAAAGTTCAAAGTAATGCATATTGGAAATCACAATCGCAACTATACAAAACGATGGATTCTAAGATAGGATATTAGGCTATATGGACAATTGGTCTGCCCCAGTCTGGCTGTTCTTATGAGTTGATGCCTTGATGTGCTAGTAGACCTGGCAGATAGGGTGGACTAAATGGTGAAGGAGCTTAAAGGTAAAGGGAAGGAGCTTGTGTTTGATGCAGTGGAAGAACGAGAGCCAGTGAAGAGAAGCAAGAAGGGGAGTAATATAATCAGAATGACAAGCTAGAAAGGTGGTGCTAGCAGCAACATTTTGAATGGATTTGAGGAGGTGCAATGTAACTGATGTCAAGATGAGATTATAGTAGTTAAGGCATGAGGTGATGAAGGCCCGAACAAGAGTCCTGGCAGTCTGTACAGACCAATAAGGCTAAATCCTTGAAATGTTGTAACAAGAAGACTTGGATATAGTCTGGATATGTGCATTAAGAGAGAGGGCTGAATTGAAGATGATGCCCAAATTGCAGGTCTGAGTGATGTCCTATAAGCAGTCCCACACTTCAATTTCTCCTCTTGGTTACTCAAACTTAAAAAGAGGCTTTTTACAAATCCTTTAATAGGATCTGGTTTATTAACTTAAAGTTAAAAAAAAACCCACAAAAGTCTTCCCTCCAGCATTAAGCTGGCACAGCTCCAAACTTCCTTGGTGTCAGGGTCTTCCCTGCTGGCTACTCCCAGATCTTGCTAGCTGGAGCTCAGCCTTCTGGCTTTGGCTTCCAGGCCCCAGTCCTTCTCCCAGTCAGGGGTTCCTGCTTTATTAAATTAACAAACATTCAAAATAAAGTTTTCAAGTCCATGCATTCGACCAGGCCTTCCCTGCCTATTGTCTCACTACCCAGGTTTCAGTTTCTCTGCTGGAGCCTACTCACTCCCAGCAGCCTCTGTACTGACTTCTGTTCTTCCTGAGAACTCCCTGAAAAAACTCTCTCTGCAGCTTCCTGCTGCTCTTAGAGGAGAATCACGTGATTCCTGCTCAGGTGTTCAGGGTTGGCTGGCTCCAGGCCTCTTGCCCTTAAGGGTATGGCTACATTGCAATAAAAAACTCATGGAACTGAAACCCAGAGCTCAGATCTATTGACTTGGGTTCGCAGGGCTCGGGTGTAGGGTAAAGATTTCAGGGTAGATGTTTGGGCTGGAACCCTGGCTCTAAGATCCAGCCCCCTTGCAGGGTTTCAAAGTTAAAGCTCAAATCCAAGCATCTGCATTGCAATTTTTAGTCCCATGAGCCAATTCAGCTGCCCTGGGTCAGCTGCGGCTGTGCTGTGGGTCTTTTATTGCAGTGCGTACGTACGCTAAGACACAATATCTGCAGTCATAGCTAATTAACAAGCAGTGGGGAACAAGAAGCAGGTCCCTAGCCAAGGAGATGAGAAAGGTGTTCTCCTGGGCAGAATTTTTCCCACTTGCTATCTGGGCCACTCGTGTACTTGGAGTGTTGAACTGGCTCAGCACTTAGGATTTCATCAAGAAAATATTTCTCCAGATTAGTTCAGGACCAGCCACGGACCTGTTTGCAACACACATGAATAATATAGCCAGGATAGAGGCATAATTGTGGGTAATGAATCACTTTGTCAAGTGAACCAAGCCTTGCTATAATCATTTCCTCTTCTGCTATTTGTTCCGATAGTCCGTTAGAAAATAAGGGCACAGGAGGCGGTCATGCATCTGTTCTGCTACTGAAGTGCTCTGGAACACAATCCTACAAGCTCTATAAGGCATCCTGGAAGTAAGATACTTTGCTGATTATTTTCTGACATGTGGGATAACTCATGAGGCCCTTGACAAATCACTGAAATCAGTATTCAAGACACTCCTGGAGAAGAACCTCACTCTAAATGGAACAAAATATCAGTTCTATAAATCCTTTTTACTGTTTTTCGCTATAACTTTTCAGCAGCTGGCACAGCAGCAGATCCAAACTTGATAGTCACCATCAAAAGTTTAGCAGCACCGCAGAGTGTCAGTGAAGTACACAGTGTCAGTGAAGTACACAGCCTCCTGTAAATGCTCAGCTGTTGTGCACACTTCATTTCACACTCCACAATAGCAGCTTAAAAGCGAAGCCATAAACCTGAGAAGTCCAAACTTAAGAAACTATACAATCCAATGCCCTCAAACAGTTCGTTGCTTCCTTATCTGCTTTGACAGTGTAATATCCTACTTTCAAGCAAACAGACACTCGATGGTGGCATCACCAGCACACAATGATTCAGTGACAAACACTGCCAGAATAATTGCCATTGCCAGAAGAACATTGACACCAATGGAAAAATAGAGAAAGAAGGTCTCATTGTGACTTGGAGCTATGTGTTTGGAATACGATGATCACAGAAAACAAACCTCTTGAACAAATATTTAACAATTCAAAATCTAAGCTGTTCACTAGATGAGTTCTTCAATTCCAACCATATAAATTCCATTTGATCCACAGCCATACAAGTTCCAACCCTTCAGTCCATGTGTCTTGCTTCCTTGCAGGTCCACTGAGGACTTGACCTTATTGATGGTAGTGTGCATTTATATTGTCACACATGCAGCACCGAAAGCAATGACGCTGCATGAGCCTCAGCTTGCAACAAGGAGGATCCAGCACTTCATCCCGTCTTCCTTATCCTTCATACAGGAATATATGGAATAACCTACCAACTACCAAGAAACTCCAAAATAGAGAGAAAAATCTTAAAATCATTCCCTAACACGAAGATCTGACCTTGGTACCTAATAACAACTTCCTATTTATGTCTTTTATAAAGCACTTTGAGATCTAATGATGAAAAGCACTATGTCAGAGCTAGGCACCAGGTTGGTGATTCTAACATTGCTTCAACTAAGAGCACTGGCCCTTGATTTTGGAGGCCACCAATATTTTATCAAGATTCAATCAGCTTCTTCTTGAAGAAGTCTAGTTTACAATTATTTGACAAGCAGACTGAAAATCTAAGTTCTCTTTTCCATGTCAAGCAGCAGTTCCTGCTAACAGCTATTTCAATGTCAGATTTGCTCAAAGGAGCCTGGCAGAAAAATCCCTCTTGATGTCTGTGAACCCTTTCCTCTTCCCCTTTCCATGGTGACTATTTCCTGGTTATCCTAGAATATTCAGGCTTCCAGTGGGAGAGCTTACCTCATGAGCATCACTATATATATATATATAGCTGAGGTTATAGCTACCACTTTAAGTGATAGCCAGAAGACAAGGATTGAGTTTATCAATTTGAAGTGCTGGTAGCACAGTCTTTTCAACAATTGATTGAAATCCTACATAAACTTTAATTGGGAAAGGGAACAACTGTTTTGGACAGATGTAGAATATTTTCCAACTAACCGGAAGCACATAGGACATGCATTTCAAGAGGCGCAAAGTGCCCACAAATTCAAATGAAGCGATGGAAAATCTGGTGCATATTGACCAATGAGTGTGACTACACTGAGTAACCTTTAAAGTGACTTTTGATAGGATGGAACAGGGTTTTGGATTCTATCCCTTCTTTCTACATCAATAAACTTGTCTAGACGGTATTTGGTCCTGCCATGCGGGCAGGGGACTGGACTCGATGACCTCTCGAGGTCCCTTCCAGTCCTAGAATCTATGAATCTATGTCTACAAGCTAGAGCCAAGGAGAACTACAAGGCCTGTGTATCCCCGGGTCTGTCTCTTTTTGGGTTTACTGCAGCTGAGTCTCATCTGTATCACAAAGGATGCTCCAAAAAGTGCTTATTGTGTCCTAGAGAGACCCTTCCCTTTCTTTTTGGACCTGGGCCTCATCCCCACATTTCCCCTCACAGGCTTCTCCTGGTACTCGAATGGCTGGCATTAGAGAAGGCTTGTGTTGCAATGTTAGTCTGTTAACATGTAGGAAAGCAGCTCTTCCAGGAGGTTCTGCGTGTCCTCGATAAACAAGTTTATTGATGTAGAAAGAAGGGATAGAATCCAAAACCCTGTTCCATCCTATCAAAAGTCACTTTAAAGGTTACTCAGTGTAGTCACACTCATTGGTCAATATGCACCAGATTTTCCATCGCTCATTTACTTCATTTGAATTTGTGGGCACTTTGCGCCTCTTGAAATGCATGTCCTATGTGCTTCCGGTTAGTTGGAAAATATTCTACATCTGTCCAAAACAGTTGTTCCCTTTCCCAATTAAAGTTTATGTAGGATTTCAATCAATTGTTGAAAAGACTGTGCTACCAGCACTTCAAATTGATAAACTCAATGCTTGTCTTCTGGCTATCACTTAAAGTGGTAGCTATAACCTCAGCTAGAAGGGTGGGTGAACTAGCAGCTCTCTCGCCATTTTCCTTTTCTCACCTTCTTTCCCAACAAGATCACCCTGAGAAGTGTTTCCAAGTTTAAACCCACGCCAAATTCAGAGTTCCATAGTGATCCAGGCATTCATCTCCTCTGGTTTGGTCCTAGTCCCAAATCTCTAAACAAAAGATAATTAGACTCCATCCTTTAATGGGGTAAGGAGATTTAAACATTAGCACCCTAAAACTGAAGAGACTAAGATTCTGGATTTTTTTTTCTTTTAAAGGAGCCTAAGTAAGGAAAATGGCTTTTTGGTGTATTAGCTGTATGGATCAATGCATACCATATTGAAATATAAAAGTTGGCCCAAGTTAACAGCCTCTCAGGGTTCAGGCCTCACTCTGCTAAAGGGGCTTTGGTTTCTGGGCTAGAGAATCATTGTTTTAAGATTTTTCAAACAACCATCTGGTGCTCATTACCTACCTTCCCGAAGCACTACAGAGTAGCTTTTGGTGATTTCTCAGACACTGACAATAGATGGAATGATCTGAGGTCAGTGGTCTATGGCCGAACATGTTTACTCCAGCTAGCAATCATGGGCCTACCCTAGGGCTTAAGAACACTGCTATTTTGTAGAGCCCTTTATTCCTAGTCAATAGACTGGAAGCATAAAAGAATAATTTCATCCTTGTAAATGATATTTCTGTGAGAATCTCCAGATGTCTATCAGACTCCACCCAATATACTGTAATGAACACTGGACCAATTTTCAGTTGTTTGCATATACTTCTTAAAGATTTTTATTTACAAGTTGCTATTGGATCATCCCTGGAATATTTGTGATGTGTTGTCCCTGAGAGGAATAAAACTTCAACAGTGGAGCAGTCGCCCCCATCTGCATGAAGGAGAGAGATGAGCAGCCCTTTAGTCCTGGACCATGAAAGTCTCTTGCAAAACAAAGTTTATAGATGTGACAAATGACACCTTCATGCGGTCATGAGACTGCTCCTGTTTGTTCCCTAATTGAATATTGCCAGCAACTAGCTCTTTGTATGTTCTGCCAATTGCTCCCCCTCCCAGTAGCAAGAGGAGAGAGGGTAGCAACATAGTGGTATTGCCCTATCCCTGAAGCTAGATTAGGGTAGAAGGTATGCTAACATCAGAGTCCCTCAATGGACTTTTATGTTAGTTTATTATGCATTTTTATTTATCAGTAAAAAGAGAGAGGATCTAAAGTAAAACATATTTTATATTTAATTAAAATGATTTTGTATTTATAATATTTACATTCTGTTCTTGATCCTGGAGCCCTGTGCATTCTTAACTCTAATTGAAATTAATGGCGGATTTGTGTACACAGGGACTACAGAATTAGAAATGGCAGCATATATTGAAATCTTATTTGAATACTGCAGATATTTTAATTAAGATATTATGAAAAAATTCATCTAATCTAGAAAATAGTCTGTCAAGCAATGTTGGTGCTGGAATAATTTTGTGACTGTATTTTTGCTGTTTTCTCCAGGAGACTAAATAACAATGAATTCACAGTGTTAGAGGCGACTGGGATCTTTAAGAAGCTTCCTCAGCTGCGTAAAATGTAAGTTTATCTTCACTGATATCTGTTCTGTACTTTTCTATAAACTTTATTAGTTAACATTTGAGAGATTCAGTGATTTCAATTCAGAAATCAAGAGGTGGACTGTAGCATGGGTTTGGCGTAATCAGTGAGTTAGATCAAAGTTGGCAGCTCTTTTCTACAGAGCTAGGCACAGTCAGTTGCAACTTCTCATGCTGTACAGCTTTGACACCTTTAGTTTAGTGTTCAGCCAGCCGGTCTGTTATTCAGCCAAAGCAGGGATCTAGCAACCTAAGCAGTTCAAAACCAGTTCCAGTAATCTTTTGTAACTTCCTCTATTACTCCCTAGCCATGCTATTCTGCCTCTTTCAGCACATTCAGGATATGCCTTTGACTTTTTGCTTTATCAAACTATCATTAGGGAAAAATATAAAAACTAAATGATTGGGGAAATGGCTAGATAGCTCATCTGTGTGAATTAAAGTCCTCAATTCATATTCCAAGAGAATTTTAGATGTTCACCAGTTTCATAAGTCATTTAAAAAAAAGAACACCCCCCCCCCACACACACACACACTATGAAGTGTCTTTTGTTTATCCTTAGTGAAGGACAGAAATACTTGTCAGAGAGTAAAGAGGACATGTCACTTTCTTGTAGCTATATTTAGTGTTTGGTCTTTTTATTAAAGTTTCCTGCAAACATAAGTACCAAGGAAAGGGAATACAATCCTAGATAATTCATGAAAAATGATCCATTGTTCATTTTTATATAAAGAAAGGAATAAAATGACTGCTATATGTGACGGTAAAAAAAGAGCCATCTAGATTAGCAGTGGCCAAAAATTATCTCAGTTTGAGGATTGTTCAGTAGCCTTATGTGAAATGTGTTGATATCCACAGTCCAGTTCCTAGTGGGAGGGTGTCCTCCACCCCACGAAAACCACCATCACTGGTGGTACTTATCAGTATTCATGTAGCATATTCAGAGAGACCAAAGATCAAATGCCATGTCTATTCTAACTACTCACTCACCCCTACTTTGTCACTCTAGGTCACAGTTGAGTCATTTAGGACAAGTCTACACTGTAGTTGAAGGTTTGATTGCAGCATGTGTATAAATACCCAAGCTAGCTTTAATCTAGCTAGTTTGAGTGCCAATATAAGCAAAGCCACAACAGCATGGACTTTGTACCCAGGGTGTCGGGAAGGCTGGTACAGCCTATGTTGGGGAGTCTGTGCTTCATGCTGTTAGTCCTCCACCTCGCTAGCTCGGGCATGTCTACAAGTACTGCAGTCATACCTCTACTGCAGTGTAGACATACCTGTTGTTAAGCCAATGTAGGGATGTTGGCACTGCTGTTTCCTCTGCTGTTCCTATCCTCTGGATAAATAGGTCTTCATTCTACAAGGCTGTCAATCTAGCCCTTTTCACAAGCACTACATTTCTTTAAAGAAATCAAATATGCAAAGTTAGCAAAAGTGATATCAGTGTCTCATACTCAAGAAAACATACATGAAAATATACATTAAATGATTTTATGTTTTTCATACTGTGAAGCGGAATGCAGCAAAGGATTCAGGTGATCTAAATTTAAATGTTGATTTCTAGGATCGAGTGTTTTGAGGCGACAAAACGGAGAATTTTAATCACTATCTTTATGTGGCTATCTAATTTAACCCAGAGTAGCTTTGAATTTGGGACCATTAAGAAGAGGCTAGAATAAAGAGAAAAATGTAGCATAAAGTTAGCATTGCTATTAATACTGTTCTGTAAGTTTCAAATACAAATCTCACATGTTAAAAAGTACTGCAGGTAACTGAATAAGGTGCAGATTAGTTAATTATGTTTAATAAAAAAAACCACCCGAATCTGCAATGTCAACCATGCAGGCAGAGGATCCCTGTGCCTGCGTGGAGCTTTGCATAAGCTCATGGGTTTGCCTGCACAGATGTAACTTGTAACCCTTACAAGTAATAACACAACTGATTGATCATACAATGTTTATTATTAATAATCAATCACAGGTTCTTTACCAAAATGGGCTACCCATTTCCTAAGAAATCCCCTTTCTCTCTGGGATTGAAATGATTGGCAGTGTAAAGTGGTATAGATTCAATTATAACTTACAAAGAAACCAAATAACTATGTTACCTATAAACATTACTGTGATGGGGCACTCATCTCTCAGCAATGCCTCCTGTTGGCTGGGTGTGGCGCTGCAATCTTTTCTGCTCCTGGCACCCACTATAGGTTGTTGACCTTGCTAGGCAGCTCGTCAGTGGCTCAACTCTCCGGCCAAGTCACACACAGCCAATATGCATGAATGAATCCTTTCCTGGGTAACAAAGGTCCAACAAGGACTATGCTGTGCCTTTGTTAGTGTCTTCAGTCCTGTCTCTGGGCTCAATTCTCAGTCCCTTCTGGGCTAACTTTTAAGTCCTTCCCTGTCCCCTTCTCTGTTATAAAGTACTGCCTCCAGGGCTTTCTCTCTGGAGACTCTATCTTCACCAGTTCTCCCTGCCCCAGCTCTCCAGCCAGGTCCTCTCTCAAGTTCAATCCCTTTCTGGTGGGTAACCAAGAATTCACCAGATGGTCTGTCTGCCCTTTCCAGGGTCTTCAGTCCCATCCCTGAACCCTTTAAATTCCAGCCCTTTGTTTGGGCTTCTAAACAAGCCTTACCCCTTCTTGGGGCTTGGGCCACTTCCCCAGTGGCCAGTGGGGGAACCTGGGCCCACCCACTACTCTGGGTCCCAACACAGGGACCCTATGAACAGCAGTCACACAATACTCCCTTCAACTCGGTTAGCTGCTAGTATTTTCCCTGGGCTTCTTCCTTTTCACCCATTACTGAATCTCTTTCCTTTCACCCATTACCTTAGGGTTACAGTTCTCAGGTCCTCTCTCTCCTTGCAGAAAGCAAAATGCTGCCAAAATTCAATTTCTGGTTCTCTCTCAGGCTCCTGGGGCCAGAAAAGAGCACCCTTCCTTGCCACTCAGGTCCCAGCCAGTAACTGACCTGCTCAGGCCCTGTAGCTCTTTTTTTCTGAGCCTTCTGGGCTCTGATTGGCTGCTTCTATGCAGCCTCTCTAAGCAGGCCTAGAGGACCCCCACTTTCACTGCTCCTTTCCTGGGGCAGGATGTGGTAGGACCACAAGGTCTCCCATCAGGGGGCCTCAAAAGTCCTGGTACAACCATCACAGCATAAACTTATCCAACCAAACCGCCTGTGTAACCAATAGTGTCATGGTAATAAACACATTTAATATTTACACTATAAAAGATGATGAAGAAGAAAAATAGATGAAAATTAGCAAATAGAGAACCTCAGAAGGCCACAGATCCAGTTGACACCAGTTCAGAGCCCAAGAGAACCCGAGAAAAGAAAACTAGGCAAGGTGCCTTCTACCCCACATTATCTAGATGTCATGGATACATACCCATATTTGTTCTGATACCCCAGTTATCAGAAGGGCAATGCCTGTGCCTATTCCATCTGTAAAAACAACAAGGAGTCTGGTGGCACCTAAAGGCTAACAGATTTATTTGGGCATAAGCTTTTGTGGGTAAAAACCTCACTTCTTCAGATGCATAGAGTGAAAGTTACAGATGCAGGCATTATATACTGACACATGGAGAAAAGGGAGTTACTTCGCAAGTGGAGAACCAGTGTTGACAGGGCCAATTCAATCAGGGTGGATGTAGTCCTCTCCCAATAATAGATGAGGAGGTGTCAATTCCAGGAGAGGAAACTCTGCTTCTGTAATGAGCCAGCCACTCCCAGTCCCTATTCAAGCCCAGATTAATGGTGTTAAATTTGCTGTTTCTCTTTGAAGTCTGTTTCTGAAGTTTTTTTGTCCAATGATAGTGACTTTTAAATCTGTAATAGAATGACCAGGGAGATTGAAGTGTTCACTTACTGGCTTTTGTATGTTACCATTCCTGATGTCCGATTTGTGTCCATTTATTCTTTTGTGGAGGGACTGTCCGGTTTGGCCAATGTACATGGCAGAGGGGCATTGCTGGCATATGATGGCATATATAACATTAGTAGATGTGCAGGTGAATGAGCCCTTGATGGTGTGGCTGATGTGGCTGGGTCCTCTGATGGTGTCACCAGAGTAGATATGGGGACAGAGTAGGCAATGAGGTTTGCTACAGGGATTGGTTCCTGGGTTGGTGTTTCTGTGGTGTGGTGTGTAGTTGCTGGTGAATATTTGCTTCAGGTTGGGGGGTTGTCTGTAAGCGAGGACTGGCCTGCCTCCCAAGGTCTGTGAGAGTGAGGGATCATTTTCCAGGATAGGCTGTAGATCGTGGATAATGCGCTGGAGAGGTATTTGCTGGGGGCTGTATGTGATGGCCAGTGGTGTTCTGTTATTATCCTTGTTGGGCCTGTCCTGTAGTCGGTGATTTCTGGGTACCCGTCTTGCTCTGTCAGTCTGTTTCCTCACTTCCCCAGGTGGGTATTGTAGTTTTAAGAATGTTTGATAAAGATCTTGTAGGTGTTTGTCTCTGTCTAAGGGGTTGGAGCAAATTCGGTTCTATTTTAGGGCTTGGCTGTAGACAATGGATCGTGTGATGTGTCTTGGATGGAAGCTGGAGGCATGCAGGTACGTATAGCGGTCAGTAGGTTTCCGGTATAGGATGGTGTTTATGTGACCATCACTTATTTGCACTGTAGTGTCCAGGAAGTGGATTTCTTGTGTGGACTGGTCCAGGCTGAGGTTGATGGTGGGGTGGAAATTGTTGAAGTCCAAGTGGAATTCTTCAAGGGCCTCCTTTCCGTGGGTCCATATGATGAAGATGTCATAAATGTAGCGCAAGTAGAGGAGGGGCACTAGGGGACGAGAGCTGAGGAAGTATTGTTTTAAGTCAGCCATAAAAATGTTGGCATACTGTGGGGCCATGCGGGTACCCATAGCAGTGCCACTGACTTGAAGGTATAAGTTGTCCCCAAATCTGAAGTGGTTGTGGGTGAGGACAAAGTTACAAAGCTCAGCCACCAGGCGTGCTGTGGTCTCGTCAGGAATACTGTTCCTGACAACTTGTAGTCCATCCTCATGTGGAATATTGGTGTAAAGTGCTTCTACATCCATGGTGGCCAGGATGGTGTTTTCAGGAAAAACACCAATGCATTGTAGTTTCCTCAGGAAGTCGGTGGTGTCTTGAAGATAGCTGGGAGTGCTGGTAGCTTAGGGTCTGAGGAGAGAGTCCAAATAGCCAGATAATCCTGCAGTAAGAGTGCCAATGCCTGAGATGATGGGGCGTCCAGGTTTCCGGGTTTATGGATCTTGGATAGCAAATAGAATACCCCAGGTCAGGGTTCTGGGGGTGTGTGCATGTAGATTTGTTCCCGTACTGTAGCTGGGAATTTCTTGAGCAGATGGTGTAGTTTTTTTGGTATTCCTCAGTGGGATCAGAGGATAGTGGCCTGTAGAATGTGGTCTTGGAGAGTTGCCTGGCAGCCTCCTGTTCATAATACAACCTGTTCATTATGACTACAGCACCTCCTTTGTCAGCCCCTTTGATGATAATGTCAGAGTTGTTTCTGAGGCTGTGGATGGCATTGCATTCTGTACGGCTGAGGTTATGGGACAAGTGCTGTTGTTTGTCCACAATTTCAGGCTGTGAACATCTGCAGAAGCACGCTATGTAGAGGTCCAGTCTGTCATTTCGACCATCAGGAGGAGTCCACGCAGAGTTCTTCTTCTTGTAGTGTTGGTAGGAGGGTTCCTGTGGGTCAGTGCACTGTTGACCGGAGACTCAAGGAATATTTTCAATGTCCCAATGCCCCTCTGTACATTGGCCAAACCGGACAATCCCTCCACAAAAGAATAAATGGACACAAATCGGACATCAGGAATGGTAACATACAAAAGCCAGTAAGTGAACACTTCAATCTCCCTGGTCATTCTATTAGATTTAAAAGTCACTATCATTGGACAAAAAAACTTCAAATCATCTCCTTCATCAAGGGCAAGGTATATTTGAAACTAATATTATGCAAGAACTGAGTAGTCAAAACTCAGCTGAAGCAACAACCTTAGGTTTTACATTTGTCAGATACTGACACATATTCATTCTGGCATGACTATGTATTTTAGATGTAATTAATAATTAATATGTTTTCTTAAATTGAATAAATAAAAGCGATGTTCCCAAAACCATCAACTTATGTTTGTTTTTCTTCCAAATATCATAAATACCAGCAAGTAAAAGAAATAAGACTTTAGCATCACTACATTGTATATGTTGTTTTGATCATGTAAAAAGTCATTACTGTATTATAACGTCACACTGTGCATAAATACATATTTGGTGTTGTTTAAACTAAAATTTAAGTAAAATATGAATATGGCTATTTGAAGAACACAAAATAAAGTATTACAGATGTATCACTAAAATCTTTAAAGCAATGTGTAAATATTGAAATTAGATACTTTTTCAAAATACAAAGCCACTTCTACTCATTTTGAGTCTAATTTCAACACTTTGACAAAAAAAACTGTTCTCCACAAGAGGTAGAGACATAAACCATACCTCTTGTTGGTTTAAAAATTAGTAATAGTATAGTATAGATCATGAATATTTTGTTTAATTGTCATCATTTGTGCTACTTATTTACTTTTTGTATCTCTCAACTTAGAAACTGAAACTAGTTAGTTTCAGTTTTGTTTCTCAAGCACCAACATTACATTGTTGATTGGATTCAAAACACTGCAAGGAATGAAAACATTAAAACACTATGTATTTTAATTAAGTATCTTTAGAAATTTTGATGAAAACCTTTTCTTGTATTATGCAGGCACTGGTAGCAACCCTGAGATTCTTTCAGTAGGAGATAAAAACCCAACTTCCTTTGAAAATCCCAGTCTCTATTGTTAAGGTTGTACTGAAATTTGCTTTGCAGGATTAAAATCTCTGTATTGGATATTTTACTCTTTGAATTTATTCTCCAGTTTTATATAGTAACTACTTAAAGTAACCTAAAGCTATGGTAGTCTGCAGTGTTTCTTTAACAGTTAATTAGCCTAAGACGCTAAAAAAAGTCTTTTTTTTTCTTTAATTCTTTTTCATGAATGTAAAATAGAAATCTGAGCAATAACAAGATCACAGATATTGAAGAAGGAGCATTTGAAGGAGCATCTGGTGTGAATGAACTGTTGCTCACCAGTAACCGTTTGGAGACTATTCGACACAAGATGTTTAAAGGCCTAGAAAGTCTCAAAACATTGTAAGTCTACTAACTGGGTGTCTTTCTTCCCGCTCGGTGCCTGATCTCTTAGACTCGAAGTAAATTCCTATGGTTTTTGTAACCTTCATTTTGAAGAAAAAACTATGGGATATGGAAGCATATCCTAGCTCTTACTTCCATTTTACACCAGGCTTTTCCACTCAGTGTGAATTCATTAACTTTGGGCCTGATCTAGTTGAAATTCATTTCTGTGTCTACTTGTCTACAAAAACTGTACATGCCTACTGAACTATGCAGCAGCTGAGGCTGCTCCTGGTTCTGTGAGCAGATGGAAATAACCATCTCCTCTGTAGCCATGGAAATTATACATTCTGCACTGCCACATCCTTAGAATAGAATTTTTGATTCTGTCCATGCTAATTGTTGTTGGGAATTACACCAGAGAAAGGAGATAGATTCAGTGGATGCTGAAATGTGGGATGAGGGTGTTTCCTGAACGATTCAATGTCAGTTAGCCAAAGATGATGATTCAATGGGCTCTAGCTTCAAGTTATTATTACGTCCTTACCTAGTCTTCTCTGCTCCCTGGGTAACTCCTCAACTCCGCCACAGAACTGTGTTTTTGTTCTGGGGCTTCTCTTGCATGCTAAACTTTCTAATCAACGGCTCAGCCCTCTGCAGAGCCCACAGCTGCAGTCTTCTGGGCTATGCAGCAAAGAAGGATGCAGATTTTTGGATACATTGTACCTAGGATTTTAAATTTTAAATAAATTAGCTTTATTTTTATTTCAAACTCTTGACACTGCTAGTTGCTGTTCTTATGAATCTAGGTAGGAAAAATAATTCTAGGGTTTAATGACAGGCACAAAAAGAGCAAAACTTGAAACTGCATTGATCCTATAATATTACTTAGAGAAATCTTTTTTTAGGAAGGTTGTTTTTGTTTTTAAGATTCTAAAATTTCTACTTGTTGTTAGAACAGTGGTGCCCAAACTTTTCCTCTTGCACTCCCCTTACTAGTAATGGAATTTGTCTCTCCATCACCCCTGGGCCATGGAGCCAGGGCTGGGGCAAGGAGCAGGACCAGAGTAGAGCTGAAGGCAGAGTGGAGCTGGGTGGCACTCCCTCTCTTCCCTCACCCATGGGGTTTCCCAGGCTCCTCTGTGCCTCCTGGATGTTACTCCATACCCCCCTAGGGGGAATACCCCACAGTTTTGGGACCACTGTGTCAGATTCACACTGGTTTCTGTTAATTGAGATTTGTTGAGCAAGTTAAGAGTGCTTTCTGCAATTTAGTTTACATATGTTAATGAACAGAAATATGGACTATGAAATGCCATCAGAATATATAAAAATTGTAACAAATAACTATGTAAATGTTTAATTTGTAGAAGCAGTTGTCTTATAGCAAAGAGAAAGCTGTCCCAGTTCTCAACTGGTATCTTCACATGAGTTGTAAAGTTACTGAAATATTCACATAGCTAAAACACTAAAATTATAGTGAGTTTTCATTATAATAAATGGTGTCTTCAAAAATATGCCTCAGTTTAGTTTTTCTGTTGCTCTGCAGTAATACTATATATATATATATGATCTAATTATACTTCATTTTTTGTAATATTTAACTATATTGAATACCAAAATGGTTAATGTGCAAGAAAATCTTCATACGTTAGATGTAGTATATGATTAAATTTAATAAATGGTATCTAAGCGTAATAAAACATAGAAAGATGTTTAGATAAAATGGTTCTATTGGACCTTCCCTAAAGTAATAAATGTTAATCCTTTCTTTTTCAGAATGCTAAGGAGCAATCGCATAAGCTGTATAGGCAATGATAGTTTCACAGGACTGAGTTCTGTCCGTTTGCTCTCCTTATATGACAACCAAATTACTACAGTTGCTCCAGGTGCCTTTGATACTCTCCATTCACTCTCTACATTGTAAGTTACATTATATTTTTAGATTATCCAGGACTTGAAGTCACTCACGTGTTTATGACATTTGCATTTATATTTTCTCTGCATAATCTTGCAGTGTACATTAATATTCCACTAAAGAAAAATACAACAGTCAGAGTTACAGAAAATCTGTGTCCTGGGCCATCTTGAAGCACATATTCAAATGTAAATACAGGCATTGTCCTTAAACACTTAGGGTATGTCTACACTATGAGAGTAGTTCGATTTTACTTAAAGCGAATTTTTGTGGAACCGATATTACAAAGTTGAATGTGTGTATCCACACTAAGGACAGTAATTTGACTTTGTGAGTCCACACTAACGGGGCAAGCGTCGACATTGGAAGCGGTGCACTGTGGGCAGCTATCCCACAGTTCCCACAGTCCCCGCTGCCCATTGGAATTCTGGGTCGAGCCCCCAATGCCTGCTGGGGCAAAAAATGTGTCAAGGGTGGTTTTGGGTAACTGTCGTCATTCAACCCTCACTCCCGCCCTCCCTCTATGAAAGCGCCGGCGGGCAATCAGTTCACACACTTTTCTGGTGATTGACAGCGCGGACGCCACAGCACTGCGAGCATGGAGCCCGCTGCGATCATCGCTGCAGTTATGGCCGTTGTCAACACCTCGCACCTTATCATCCACCTTTTTCAGAGGCAGATGCTGAGAAATTGGGCGAGGAGACTACGGCAGCGCGGTGAGGACATTAAGTCTGAGAGGGGCACAGACCTCTCACAAAGCACGGGACTCTGCGCTGTGAACATCATGGTGGCAATGGGTCATGTTGATGCTGTGGAATGGCGATTCTGGGCCCAAGAAACAAGCACGGACTGGTGGGACTGCATAGTGCTGCAGGTCTGGGATGAATCACAGTGGCTGCGAAACTTTAGGATGTGTAAGGGAACTTTCCTGGAACTTTGTGAGTTGCTGTCCCCTGCCCTGAAGCACAAGGACACCCAGATGCAAGCAGCCCTGACTGTCCAGAAGCGAGTGGCCATAGCCTTCTGGAAGCTTGCAACGCCAGATAGCTACTGGTCAGTCATGAATCACTTTGGAGTGGGCAAATCTACCGTGGGGGTTGCTGTGATGCAAGTAGCCAACGCAATCGTTGAGCTACTGCTCTCAAAGGTAGTGACCCTGGGAAACGTGCAGGTGATCATAGATGGCTTCGCTGCAATGGGATTCCCAAACTGCGGTGGGGCTATAGATGGAACTCACATCCCTATCCTGGGACCGGACCACCAGGCCAGCCAGTACATAAACCAAAAGGGCTACTTTTCAATGGTGTTGCAAGCACTGGTGGACCATAGGGGACGTTTTACCAACATCAACGTCGGACGGCCAGGCAAGGTTCATGATGCTCGCGTTTTCAGGAACTCTGGTCTGTTTAGATGGCTGCAGGAAGGTATTTACTTCCCGGACCACAAAATAACTGTTGGGGATGTGGAGGTGCCTATAGTGATCCTCAGGAACCCAGCCTACCCGCTAATGCCATGGCTCATGAAGCCCTATACAGGTGCCCTGGACAGTGAAAAAGAACTTTTCAACTACCGGCTGAGCAAGTGCAGAATGGTGGTGGAGTGTGCTTTTGGACGTCTGAAGGGGAGATGGAGAAGCTTACTGACTCGCTCTGATCTCAGCGAAACCAATATCCCCATTGTTATTGCAGCTTGCTGTGTGCTCCACAATCTCTGTGAGAGCAAGGGGGAGACATTTATGGCGGGGTGGGAGGTTGAGGCAAATTGCCTGGCTGCTGATTACGCCCAGCCAGACAGCCGGGCAATTAGAAGAGCCCAGCGGGACACGCTGTGCATCCGGGAAGCTTTGAAAGCTAGGTTCCAGAGTGAGCAGGATAACCTGTGACTATTAAGTTTGTTTAAACAGAAGCTGAACCTGCCCCCGTTTCTTTACCCAGTTAATGTTGACTATCCTCTCCAGTTACCAACCTCCTTCCCCCCTTCCAACACACCTTTAAAAATAAAATAAATGAAACTTTGTTCATTAACACTGTTTTCTTTATTAAGGATTTTGTGGTAAAGTGTTGAAACTGGGACGCAGACTGTGGTGGGGAGCGGGTGTAGTGATGGAAAGGATGCTTCTAAACTCGAGGAATGACAGGCTCCTGCTCCTAGAGCGGTCCACAGTGGTGGACTGGTTGTTTCAACGGAGCCTGCCACCCCTCCTTTTCGGGACTTTGTGGGGGGGGGCTATGTGACTTTGTGGCGGGGGAGGGCGGTTACAGATCTGTCATCCAGGCTAAGGACCGCTGCATAAAATCTGTAACCGCCCTCCCCCGCCACAAACTCACATAGCCCCTCCCCACAGAACATGAAAACCACCTCCCAGACTGACCAGGGTGCCTAGTGACTGCAATGTGTGTGTGACCTTCTGCTGAACCTGCCCCCGTGTCTGTACCCTGGTAAAGGTGACTGTCCTCTCCAATTACCAACCCCCTTGCCCCCCTTAAAACACACTCTCCTCTAAAAGAACATGACGGAAACAGTAATTAACAGAAACGTATTTTTTATTAACAACTACACAGGGGGATGAAACTGGGACGGGGGCTTGGCTGAGGTGCTTTTGGAGTGAAGGAAAGGACTTATCAAATCTTTGGGAATGAGAGCCTTCTGCTACTTGAGTAGTCTGCAGGGGTGGAGTGACTGTTTTCACGGCCCCTGACGCCCCTCCTTCTTGGGACTTTCGGTGAGGGGGGGATGGGACTTTGTGGTGGGGGAGGGCAGTTAGAGATAGAATGCAGTGGGGCTCTGTCCTCCTGCCTCCGGTCCTGCAGAACATCTACAAGGCGCCGGAGCGTGTCCGTTTGCTCCCTCATTAGTCCAAGCAGCGTTTGAGTCACCTGCTGATCTTCCTGCCGCCACCTGTCCTCCCGTTCGCTGTGTGATCGCTGGTATTGCGACATGTTCTCCCTCCACTGGGTCTGCTGTGCCGCCTTGGCTCGGGAGCAGCCCATAAGTTCTGAGAACATCTCGTCCCATGTCCTTTTCTTTTGTCGCCTGATCTGCGCCAGCCTCTGGGAGGGGGATGCCGGGGTAGCTTGGGAGACACTCGCAGCTGTGGGATGGGAAAAAGGGAGTGAATTCCTCACAAAGACACAGTTTTGCGAATAATGAAAATAGTCTTTCTTCTTCGAGTGCTTGCTCATATCCATTCCATTAGGTGTGCGCGCGCCGCGTGCACGATCGTCGGAAAATTTTCTA